TTTTTTTTTTTTTTAATGTTTATTTATTACTTTTGAGAGAGAGTGCATGCGCATGGGGGTGAGGAGGGGCAGAGAGAGAGGAGAGAGGGAATCCTAATCAGGCTCCACGCTGTCAGTGATGAGCCCGACGCAGGGCTCGATCTCACAAACTGTGGGATCATGACCTGAGCCGAAATCAAGAATTGGACTGAGCCACCCAGGCACCCCACGAAATTACCTTTTCAGGGAGCCCAGTGAAGAGTGCCCATCGTATAGCATGGACCTTTGTATCATGAGTCCCTCTGAGACTCTGATGAAAGCTGTGGACTCTTCCCCCTGGGAAAATACAAATAAGAGAAAAAGCATGTGCATGTGACGGTCGGTACATGCGTTGTGCATACGCACTTGCTGTTTTGCATGGATACCAGGAACCTGGAGCCCCCCGGGTTGGGCTCCATGAAGTCCTGGCTGTCCTGCACATAGCCACTCTACCGGTCCTTAGGGACAATTCATTGTCTTTGGGGGTGCACTGGGCTTGTTCCCACGTCGCTTCCTCCACTTTCCTTGTTCTAACCACTGGACATGACTTCTTTGCTTCTGCCTTTTGTGATCCCTGTATAGTGTTTCCATGCTAGCCCCTGGTCTCTGCCTTCTCTTCCTTCCCCAGGCACACCACCCCCCCTTGAGTGCCAATGCATTCACCCCCTTCCTAAGAGCTTAGGGTGGTGCAAGTAGGGACCAAGGGACGTCAAGTTAGAGCTTAGATTCACTTGTAGATACTGGCTTGTTACTGTGGACTGAGATCTGGGGGCTCAGGGGGAGTTGGTCTGGGGAATACTTTTGAGAATGAGACTGTATAGACAGCTCTCAGGCATGGTCCTGGCTGGGTAGACTAGAACAGAGTTTCTCAATTCTCAACACTATTGTTGACCTGGACCCCTTCTTTTTGTTTGTTTATTTTTGAATGTTCATTTTTATTTATTTTGAGAAAGAGAGTGGAAGAGGAGCAGAAGGAGAGGGAGAGAGAGAATCCCAAGCAGGCTCCGCACTGTCAGCGCAGTGCCCCAGGAGGAGCTCACTCTCCAGAACCCTGAGATCATGACCTGAGCCGAAATCAAGAGTTGGACGCTTAAGGGACTGAGCTACCCAGGCACCCCAATGCTAATAGCCCTTCTAATGGTGACAACAAAAATGTCCTAAACGGAGGGGTTGCAAATCACCTGAGGTTGAAAACGTCTGATCTGGAATGTTCCCATGCTTTTAAAGAGACAGTTGTGGGAGGTGGGGTTATGGCTAATGCCTACGGCACCCCTCCTCTCCCCCTTCCTGCATTCAGGATGGGAGGTTGGCTTCTTCTCAAAGCCAGGGAGATCCCTGTTTGTTCAGCCTGCTCGGCTTTCAGAGTTTGGTTGGAAATGAGCGGTTCGGGAGTACTTCGGCCAGCCAGCAAGGAGAATCCTGGCGTCCTTGAGTTTTCCCAAAAGCGGTTCGGGTTTCAGGGAGGCGGCGGCCGTGGGTGGCCAGGCAGCCTGCCCGCCTGCCCGCACCCGCCCACCCGCCTCTGCCTGCCGCCTTGAGCTTTGCACTGGGGCCTCGCCCTCCCACTCGCGCAGAATGTCAGGCAGTGCGTGTTCCCCGGGCCGCGGTGCCGCCTGGAACCCGGGGGCCGCGGGCCAGGGAGCCGCCCGCGCAGCGGCTGGGAGCTGAGGCTGGCGGCGGGCCGCAGCAACTCTGGGGCTGCAGCAGGACGCGGGCATGCCCCTGCCCTCGAGCAGGCTGGCCACCTGGCGCCCCGCCGAGCCTGGGGACGCCAGCGCAGGGGGGCAGCCTCTCCTCCGAGGTACGGGCAGGCGCGGGCCTCCACCCTGGCCCCGGGAGGTGGGGTGGGCAGCCCTGTGGCCAGCCCTGACGGCCGGACCCAAGGGCTTGGTCTCTCTGGGCGCCTGTGTGTTGGGCTTGGCAGGTAGGCACCCCGTGTCTGTTCTCCACGCCTCTCCTGACCTGCTCGGAGCTCTGCGAGGGAGGGCTTTCTGGGGGCTCTTCTTCTCTGATCTCAGGCTCTGCAAGACACAGCTTGCCCGGGCATCAGATTGCACACTGGGCTCTTAGAAGATGCAGCCCCAAATGCTTGGGTTTCCAACTTCTCCACTCACTGGTGTGCCCAGGGTTTATTTTAAAGGGCTTCTTACTGGGGTCGAGACTACATTCCATCCTGTTGCCTTCTCAGAACTCTTTTTCTTTTCTCCCATTCAGTCACCAATTCTTTGCTCTAGAATAGATACCCACCTCCTTGGGGCTTCCTCTTTGGTCTTTCTTCGCCAGACTCGGGCCCAGTGTAGCCCGGAGGTGCTTGTTTCTTGAGGACCTGGTGGTGCCACTCCTGGATGCCCAAGTTGGGAGTGGGGGCCGAAATGGGGGAGAGGAGACGCTGCTGCCTTTTTCTGAGTCTCTGTGTTTTAAATTGCCCAGTGATGTCTTTGTCCGAGGTACTGGAAACCAGGTGATGATTGGGCTGGGGGTAAGCCGTGCCTCCTCCTGGCCCAAGATCAATCACGGCCTCCTGCCTCTGGACAGCGCCGTGCTTCGCCCCGGTTTTTCCAGTCTTGCTGTACACATGCGTGTGCTTTTATTCAGACTCTCTGGGGGATTGGCAGCCCTAGCTGGGTGTTCTCATTCATGCACATGTGGTTATTGGGAGCAGGTGTTGGAGAGGAAGCCTGCCTCTCTGGGCAGATGTGTGGCCCTCCCCCACCCAGGGGACCTTCTCTAGGGGCCTGGCCTGCCACACAAAGGGACTTCTCTGGTCAGCTTTTGGGCTGGAGCAGAGGTGTTTTGTGAGGTGAGCTTGTGTTCTCGTTTGCAAATGTTCCTCTGCGGACTATTTCAGTTCCACTCTGACAACCAAGGAGGCTAAAATTAGTTCCGGAGAAGGAAAAGGAAGGCTGGTTGGAAACCCAAGCCCTTGGCTGGAGGTTGGAGAAGGCTGCTTCCCGGAGTTTGTGGTCAAGCGTTTCGGAAGATGTGACCAGACCAGCTGTTGTCTGTCCATCCGAGGAGAGGGCGGGGCCTCTGCTTGCCTCCTAGACCTGAGCCAATGGTAACAGGAGGCTGACTTGGAAGCTGACTCTCTTGAATGTTAATGTCAGGATGTTTTTTCCTTCTGGCTTGTGTAGTGGTGCACAGTGTTTTCAGGTATGAGGACAATGCCTTTAATGTAATGTCTAATGTCGCTGACAACCCTCCTTCTTAACACACCCCCCCCATCAATTCAGAAAGCATGCATGAGTTCTCAGAACCCTGGGCTGACAGCCATTGGTTAAGATTGTTTATTTATTTATTTGATTGTGGTTTTTTGGGGAATTTCCTTGTCACCCAAGTTTTGACCTTCCCTTCAGGTGCTCATAAGCCAGGCAGACCAGGGCCTACCTTAGACCGCTGGTTTGGGCGGGGACTGGGTTAGAGAGGAGCCCTGTGGCTCAGGCCTCGTAAGGAGGTCTAGCTTCTCTGTGCCCTGAGGACCTGGGGGTCAGAAATGGAGGGGCGGGAGAGTTACAGAGGTGACTTCTGATTTCCCTTTCCACCTGGCTGTCCCCTCCTGTGAACCCTCCACCTGAGAGTGGGTCCTGCAGGGCCACTCAGGGGAAGGAGAGCCAGGGCAATGCAATCCTACCTTTCCTGACCTGAAAAACCATTTCCAAACCTCCTCTCACCCAGAACTCTCCTGGTTAGCCACCCTGGGTGTAGTTGGAGGAGTAGAGGTCACTGTGGCCAAACTTCTTTTCCCATTTTAAGTTTTATTAATTTTTAGTCTTACAGATAATGCACATACATTCAATTGCAGAAAATTAAACATTACAGGTAAACCAGGGCCCTTTACCACCCCTGGCCCCCGTCTGAGTCCTACACATTTTATCTGTGCATCTGTGAAAGTACTTAAAGAAATAGACTTTTTAACCTAAAATGGTATTGTACCTTTTCAAACATTTAACTGGAGTATAAAATACAGGTAGAACAGTGTAATTATCAGAAGTGACAGCTTGATGAATTTTTACAAACTGAATATGCCCAGGTAATCAGCATCTAGATTGAGAATCAGAAATTTACCAGCTCCTCTGCCCACCAGCCCTTTTTTGCTCCATTGTAGTCTCTACCCCTATATCCTTAAGGGTAACGACTATGTTGACTTCTCCCAGGACACGTCCGTTTTGCCTGTTTTTGTGCTTTATATGAGTGGAATCTAACAGAGTGAACTATTTTGTGTCCATTTTTTGTTCACCATGTTTGCGACTTATATCTGTATTGTTGCATGTTCATGGCTTTGAAAGTCAGAGATATGTTTTGACAGTCTTTCTCATACATACGGATCAACCCGGATCTTTTTAATAGCTGTTTAATATTTCAAAGTTTGTATGTAGACCACATTTTATCGAGTTTCCTATTGATGGATTTTCTGATTGTATAGTTTATGCAGATTGGTTCTCGAGGATAGATGATAAGAGGTATCTCTGCTTCATAGAACATGTATATTTTTTTTTTTTTTTTTTTTTAAAGATTTATTTATTTAAGTCATCTTTACTCTGAACCTGGGTCTTGAACTCACAACCCTGAGATCAGGAGTTGCATACTGTGCCGACTGAGCCAGCCAGGTACCCCAGGACATATGTATTTTAAATTTTAATTGATATTGAGTGATGGCTATACTGTTCTCCACCCCGCCCCCCGGCCACCCAGGTGACGGCAGTGGGAGCAGAAGCTGGGTGAGATGGCAGGTGACCCTCTGCAGAGTATGTGAGCCTCTCCTCCCCCTCTAGAAATGCTCGATTGCAGAGCTTTCGGGGGGAATGGGAAATAGCCCACTTCGTGAAGGGTGCCCGGGCAAGATCTAGTGTCTGAGGAGAGCCAGAGAGGCGGCTTCCTGTGTCTGAGTCTACTGCTTACTGTGTTGATAGAGGAGAGGTACAGTGGACTAGCCAGTATATGCTGGTCTGGCTTTGGGATGGATGTGGATGTGTGCGTCTTCGTGAGCTCACTGGCCGCGTTTTATGCTGCCTCCGTCCTCCAGAGCGAGGGGAGTGCTTGCTGAAGGTTGTGAGGGGCTGTGGGTAGCAGGGCACCCCTTGTGAACCCGGTGCATCTGCGAAGATCATGGCATGGCAGGATCCTGATTTCACATGCGGTGACGATGGTGGGTGGGGGGGTGGTGGTGGTGTAGGAGACATTTGCAGAATCCTTTTAGAATCTGGTCCAAAGCTTCTCATGACGGAAGGGGGCTCAGATGAGCTTCGCTTCCTGGCTGAGTGTGTGCGGTGTGCCCTTGTTTAACTTTCTGCCGCGATCAGTTTGAAATGACTTGTTCTCCGGAGCGTCTGCGTTCCTCTTCTCCTTCAGCACGCTGCCCGCTGTTCCGCTGCTGTTCCACTGGGGTTCCTTGTGTAAGCCCACTTGTCAGGCTCTGCTTATGGATTTAGGGGCCAGTGGATTTATGGTACTGTTTCTAGAACGAGTGATGGTCTCAGTCGCCTGTCCCACGTCGTACAGGTGATGTGCATGGTGTATTAGACTGTTAGGGCTGCCATAGAACGGATGGCTTTGAGATACCACAGACACTGTGGCTTCCATAACTGAGGCTTATTTTCTCACAGTTCTGGCAGCTGGAAGTCTTCCTCAGGGGGCCAGCAGGAGTGGTTTCTGGTGAGCTTGCAGATAGCTGCGTGCTTCCTGTGTTCTCACGTCGTCTTTTCTCCATGTGGGTGCACATACAGCAGGTGCCCTTCCCTTTCCTATAAGGACACCAGTTCTATTGGATTAGGGCTCCACCCTTATAACCTCATCTGACCTTAGTTACCTCTTTAAAGGCTTTATCTCTCCAGTCACATTGGGACTTAAGAGTTTTTTTTTGGGGGGGGGGTAGGGATATAGTTTGGTCCCTAACAATCTGAAACAATAAAATCGGTTGAAAGAGAATTCTGTTTCCCTCTTGGGTTACACTTTGGAGTAGAAATTACTGTTTTTCAGACCTCTGCCCTTAGGGTCTTGGTTAAACACTTTCCACGGACAGTCTGATCTAGACAGGTGATTGTAGTTTCTGTGTATGTGTAGAGGAGAAGTCTCCCCTTTTGGTATTATGTGTTCCTGAAAATAGTCTAAAACCTGGGTAAAAGGTAGACATGGAGGCTTCCTCTGTTGATGACCAGGACCAGCCCTCTTTCTGAAGTCACCTGGAAAAGATGGACAAACTTGGGAAACATCTCTGGCTGAAAGCATTGTACAGCTGAGAATATAGGGAAGACCCACCAAGTCAGGATCTGTGTAAGAACAGAGGCCCAGGGTAGTGACTTTGACATTTGAGTCCTTTTTTAGTTCTTCCATAGGGTTGCATTTTCATTTGATAGCCTTGTGGGACTTTAAACAGAGGGTAGTGAACCCCTCCTTTTGAGTTGGAACCCCAAAGACATGAGGGCAAGGGGGAACCAAAAGAAGATAAACTTAAAAAAAACGTTTTAAAAATATTCATTTATTTCTGAGACAGAGACAGAGCATGAGTGGGGGAGGGGCAGAGAGAGAGAGGGAGACACAGAATCTGAAGCAGGCCCCAGGTTCTGAGCTGTCAGCACAGAGCTGGACGCGGGGCTCGAACCCACAAACCGTGAGATCATGACCTGAGCCGGAGTCGGTCGCTGAACTGACTGAGCCACCCAGGTGCCCCAAAAGAAGATAAACTTTAAAGTAGGATTAAGATGTTCTAGAATTAATGGTGCCCTCAGCTGCCTGCTGGAAGCACATGTAACATCATTACAGGAGTGTAGCACCTCAAATTACTTTCCCTCAAATTATTATTTT